CGGCACCTGCGGCCGCACCCGCGCCGGCAGCGGCTAAGCCCCAAGCCCAGCGCGAGTTCACAAAGACCATCGAGTTCGCGCCGATCGAGGCGGCGGCGGTGCAGCGACTCAACCTGAGCGTGGTGCGGTCCAAGTTCGGGGTGTACACTAAGGTCAACATGGCCAAGCGGACCATCACCTTCACCGGCCCCGTCGCGCCCGCCCTGGAGACCGCCAGCAGCTTCGTCAGGTCCGTCTTCTTCCCATATCCACCACCATTCCAGGAATTCCAGCAGCGAGTGCGTTTCACGCTGACGGTGTCGACCACAGGTGGTTCATCAACAACGGCACCCGCATGCAGAAGAAGCCAGCGGTCGCGGCCACCCCCTCGGGCGGCACCACCGCCTCCACCACCACCTCTACCACTACCAAGCCCTTCGTTTTTGGTGCCGACACTCTTACGAGTTGACTTTTTATTTACAATTTTCGAGCAGCGACGCATAGGCTCACATCGCCGAGGCCGCACTAGAGTCGACAAGGTCGCGTGTGTGTGAGAGAGAGACGATGACGTGGAGATGGATAGGTGGAGGGGGAGGTACCTGAGATCTCTGGCCACGATCTCGTCGGCACGGCTCTGGCCCACCTGGGCAAAGTCGCCACGGGCAAGACGAAGCCCGATCCGCTCCGCATTCACCTCCTTCTCCGTCCGTACGCCCTGCGTCATCCACAACACGACACACATGACACACACACGACACACATCCACGGCACGGCCCACGGAGGTTGTAAGTGATCAGGCCCAGGCGTAGGCTTGGCCGGCGTGCAGGTGGAGGTGGTGTAGTACCAGGAGGCGCAGGGGAGGGACGAGCGGGGACCAGCCGGTGATGGCGTGCTGGAGGAGCACCAGCGAGGAGACGAGGGCGATGAGGTAGCACGAGTGGTGGCCGTACCACCAGCCCCCGAGCAGGCCGCCGGCCGACACCAGACCCACGACCAGCGCCACGAGCCGGTGGATCGTCCACTCCCTGTCCAAGTCGCCGAGCCTCGTCGTCATCAGCTCCGGCGACATCTGGCACACACACACACACACCGCACACACCGCACACATGCTGAGTGACACGACACGCGCGCAACCGCACACACACGTACGTCCTTGAAGTAGGCAACACGGTCAACTGTCTTGCGGCGGATCTCGTCATCCACGCGGGTGGGCTTCTCGGGCAGGGCCGTCCGCGGTGCCGCCGCCGTAGCGCCACCGTCGGCCGAGCCCCCCGCCCCCTGTTGGTGGTCCATCGTCGTGCGATCGCGCGACCGGTTGCGGACCGGGCTCACCTTCTCCCGCTGCAGCATCGCCTCCTCCTCAGACATGGCGACAAGATTGTATTAAAGCGGTAAGTACTGTTCCTTTCTTCGCGCGTAAGTGTACTGCTGTGTTGCGCTTGGCTTTACGATGGGTTTGCTTGGTTTTGGACACTCACAGGTCTGCCCCCCCACAGGTGGTGATTTGTCCAGATGGCGACCCCCTTCCTTCGGGCGAAAGTCGGCGTAGCCAACCACGGAATTTCACCGTTGATTTCCTTATCACCATCACGGTCGGAAGAGCACGAGGGAGAGGGAACGGATGAGGAGGTCCGTCGTGACGTCCCGGCAGCTGACGGAGCCGTTGCTCGTTACCCCGCAGAAGAGCTCGCTCTCAAAGGCGATCGTTTAGCTGCCCGCCGTAAGTTGACCTTTCTTGCGGCCCGCAGCTAGGCTGGTAGCAACTGTCCGTCCGCGGCGTGGCAGCCTGAACCACGCCTCCCGAGTTGCAGCTGGAAAGCCCGAATGGCAACCACTCCTCGGCGTCGTGCCCACGCTCGTCCGTCGGCTTGATTGCGAACGCGGAGCAGCCCCCGAGGCTGAGTAGGGTGTAGAGCGACTTGACCGATCTGGCCCACCTTCTTGAAGTGACCCAGCAGACGACGGGTAGGGGGGATCCGAGTGGCTGCGGCTGGGCGTCGATCACCATGGGTGGTGCGACAAGGACCGCCGCGAAGACGACGAAGACGACGAAGGGGGGCGAGACTTTGGCGGAGCCCGAGCATCGTCATGGGTTAATGTTGTGGATTGCGAGTGAGTGTACTCTGTTGGCAACTTCCGCCGGTTATCGTAACCTCGTGCGCACGGAGGGAAGGGGGAAGCGGGCTTTCACCAAAACGAATAGACCCTTTGTGTTGTGGGATTGGCCAACTGCTTGTTTCGATCACTAACCCAACCGGTTGGATAGATACACGTGGCCGCTTTCTTAAAGCAGTTTTTGGCCACCGAAAATAAAATAAAATCAACACTTTAAAATAATTCTTTTTTTTAAAAAAAGCCAAACACAAGGATGGCGACAACGCCTCTATCCACTTCTCCCTCTTCCTCTTCTATGGGGGCCGCAGCCACAAACAACATGTCGTCGTCGGTGGCGACCGCATTGAGTGACGGCCTCGAGCGCCTCGTGGAGATGTCCGGTGCGGGGGGTCCCGGCCTCGGGCGCGAGTCCCTCCCCATCCTCGAATCCTTCCTCCACGCCACCGACCTCCTCGTTGAGTCTGCCGGTACCCCCCCCCGCCCTAAATCGGAAATAAAAAACAACTTTTTACCAACAAATATCTAATGATTAAATAATACTTATTATTGTACACCGCGTTGGAACGTTGCGCGAGTTATCACACATGTTCAGCAAACTCGAGGAATAAAATGTGCACGTGCATGCTGGCTCTTTGGCCCTTCGCTTTTTTCGTTCTTTTTGGCTGACGCTTTCGCTCTTTTGAGCGCTGGCCGGGCAGAGGCGGTGGGGGCGTCGACCAAGGAGCATCGGCTGCGGGAGGCGATCTTCAACTACGGGCGCGAGCTCAAGGCCGAGGCCAACGCCCTGCGGGAGGTGGCGCAGGGCCTGGCCCAGGCGCCCGCCATCGGACAGACCGCGGAGACCAAGCACGCCATGATCCGCTCCCTCATCAAGATCGGCAAGCTCACCGCCAACCTCATGCAAGGTTCTCTCTTCTCTTTTCTTCTCTCTTTTCGCTTCACGCCAGCAGTGCTGAGCGCGGATGTGTCTTACCACTCTTTTCTTTGTTGGTCGCTCGGTGCTGCAGCCGAAGAGGACGTCGACCAGAAGGTGCTGAGCCATGCCTGCAAGAACTGCGCGTCCTCGGCTAAGGCACGTCTTGCTGCTGCTGCTGCTGCTGCTGCTGCTGCTCGAGGGAAGGTGGGACCCGCACACTGATCGATCCATTCTTTGTGTGCGTGCCACAGACCCTGGTCAGCAAGACACGCCGAACCGACGCCGAGATGATCGGTGCCCTTTTTTTGTTTTTGTTTTTTTAATTTTGTTTTATTTGTTGATTTTTATTTTTCACATTTGGTTCATTTTTATTTTTGTTTATTTTGCTGCGCGCCATTGGGCGCTGACGTCTGCTCCGCACGACGACAGAGGCGGCCCGCGTGTTTGCTCAAAGCTGCGTCGAGCTGGTGAAGACCCTGAGCGACATAGCCTATCGAGTACACACGCGCTTTCTCCCCGAAGGATGGCCCTGATGCCATGAAAGCTACGCAGTGTCTAACTCCGATCCTCTGGCGCACGGCCTACTAGTACGCAGAGACCAGCCCCAAGCACAGAGACGAAGTGCTACACGTCGCCAACCAGATCAAGACGACCTCGCCCAAACTCATCGAGGCCGTCAAAGTGGCCCACTTCAACCCAGGTCAGGCTTTTTATTCTTATTACTATTATTACTATTATTACATTTATTGCTGCTAACACCTATTAAATTGGCGTGCACAGGCAACACAAAGAATATGGAGGCGGCGCTGGTGGTGGTGAAGGCGCTCGCCGGGGAGATCTCGCGGGCCATCACCTTGGCCAAGGGTCCGGCCTTCACCACCGAGGTGCGGATGCCTCCGTTCGCCCTGGGGTCGTCGTCGTCCGTGTCCGCGCTTTCGGCTTCTCTCTCTTCGTCTCCTCCCTCCTCCTCCTCGTCGTCGTCGTTGCACCATCCTCCACTCTCCTCGTCTCCCTCTTCGTCTTCGTTCTCCTCACTTCATTCCGGGTCGGCCCCGCCTTCCTCGCCGTCCACTTCGCGAGCCGGTGGCGGAGGTGCGCCTTTCAACACCAGACGTGTATGCTGCAGTGTGTCGTGTGTCGTGTGTCGTGTGTATGTCGTTTTTTGTACATGCATTGTGCTCTCTTTGCTGAATGCGTTTGGTTTGGTGGCGCAGGACTGGGCGGGTTCCGGCGGCGACCAGAAGGCGGAAGCGGCATCGGGAGCAGCGTCGCGCTGGGCAGCGGCGGCAATAGCGGCATCGTGGGCGCCGGCAGCATGATCAGGAAGAGGACCATCACCGACAGCCGGGAGGGCATGGACGTGCTCCTCCGAGCTCGGTACGTCCACCCACCCAACAGCAGCATCAACAACGCATCAGGTCGTGGTGCCTACGCTCATTATGTGTGCGGTGTGTGCGCGCGCGCGCGGTTGGCACAACACACCACAGAGCAATGTCGCAGGCGGTCACATTGAAGCTGAAGATCGAGAAGGAGCTCGACGTTCGGTCCCTGGACGCCGGCGCCGCTGAGTCGGAGGACTCCGCGACCGCGTCGACGGCGCCCGTCGGCGACGAGTCGGCCAACGGCGGCGGCAAGGCGGACCACCAACACACCAACCAGGGTGGCAAGGGCCGAGGGTCAATGGACAAGGAGGAGTCCAAGCTGTTGCTCCGGTGCGTGCCCCCCCCCCGGTGGTGGCTCGTGGGCACGTGCTCGTGACGTCAGTTGACCTCAGGGCGGAGGTCCGCCAATGGTGAGCGGGGTGGCGCGTGACTGATGAACCAGTGGCGGTTAGGATAACGAAGCTCGAGGTTGACAACAAGAAGTTGCGTGACGAGAACGAAGAGCTGCGTCGACGGTTCGAAAATCAGGCGGACGACGAGCGACGGCTGCGGGAGAGGGAGCGGGAAGAGGAGACAGAGCTGCACGAGCAGCTGCTGCTCAAGCGAAAGCTCGTCAGCATGGCCGACGAAAACAGCCGCCTGCGGCAGGAGGTGGA